TAACCTGCAGAGTTTAATCACGATTGGTGATGCAGAGGCTGCAATTATGTCAGAGGGAGGGGGGTTGGAGGAATGGAGGTGCTGCTGAGTCACGTGACACGTGAGTGAGACCTGGGAGATCCGACAAGGCTCCTCTTCAGCTTGAGTGGAGTTTGGTTCCAAAAGATCACAGCTCCAAGAGTCCGGAATCTAAGATCATGGTCAAGATACAGGCGTGGGTCATTCACAGAGGGACAGAGAGGCAGTACTTATCCGTGGGGTTCAGCGAGAGTCGGTGGTCAGTAGGCAGAGCGAGAGTCGAGGTCCAGATATCTGATGGGCAGAAATCATCCATCATGGGCAAGGCAAAGGCGAGGAATCTGCGATCCTGAAGAGAGTCAAAAAACAGAGAGGTCAGGAACAGAACGCTGGACTTCTTTAGGTGCAAGGCAATCAGACAATCTGGCAGGGAGGCAGAGTCTGGGGCGCTCTGTAAAAAGAGCAGCAGACAGGTGCACTGAGTGAAGCTGATGAGGAGAGAAGGCAGGGCAACCAAAAAAACACAGCATGACTTGACATGAACGTGAACCATTACACTTAATTCACGACTTGGATCTTACTAATGTTTTTCTTTACAATTTTTGTTTTTGTAGGATGTTATGGGACCCTGTGTAGTTTTGTTCCACCTCATGTACCACATGTGGTGTGTATGACAAATAAATCTCTGACTCTGACAGCTGTGGACAACAATGACAGCCTTAAAGGATGCATACAATTTTATTTATTTTTTTACTTTTGAAAATAAAATGGTAATTAAAAGGATAATTAAAAGGAAAAGTAGCAAAAAACCTGCTAGGTAGTATAGCCTGGATTGTATTTGTCGATTGTGTAAATGCAGATGGCCAGCCAATGATTTTGATAGTTTTTTTTCATTCAACCTTTATTTCTACAGGTTAGTCTCATTGAGCCTCGAGGACTCATTTACAAGAGAGACCTGTTTTTAACAAAGAACACAGATGACAACAGTAGACAATCATTAAAAAGCACATAAAATGAACAGTAAATGGAAGAAAATCATGTTAAAAAAACAGCTACATTATAGAGCAATATAAAATACTAAAAACTGGAACATGTCTGTGTTCACACGAGAAGATGTAAAAAATGGCAAGTTGGCTTTCTTGGACTGTGAGGTCTCAGTCTCTGGTAGAGGACATTTGCAAACTGAGGTGTACCGCAAACCCACCCACACAGACCAGTATTTGCAGTTTGACTCCCATCACCCTTTGGAGCACAAGTTAAGAGTCATCAGGACTCTGTACCACAGAGCAGACAGCGTCCCCACTAGCTCAGGAGCCAGGCAGAAGGAGAAACCCCACACAAGACAGGCTCTAGAGCAATGTGGATATCCTAACTGGGCCTTCCTGAAAGCAGAGAAGAAACCCAAAGTGGACTCCAGTCAGCCATCAGGTGAAAAGGAGGAACCCAGACCCAGACCAGTGGTCATTCCATATGTTGAGGGAGTATCAGAGAAACTGACGTTTATTTTCTAAACACAACGTCCCAGTGGCTTTTAAACCCCAAAATACATTAAAGACTGGTTCATCCCAAAGACCCAGTCCCCCGGCACAAACAGAGCAATGTTGTGTATGCTGTTCAGTGTCAGGAAGGTGATCAGTCTTACATCGGGGAAACTAAACAGCCACTGGCCAAAAGGATGGTCCAGCACAGAAGATCAACATCATCAGGCCAGGACTCTGAGGTCTACACTCATCTCCAGGCCAGCGGTCACTCTTTCAGGGATGAAGATGTTCACATCCTGGATAGAGAGGAACGATGGTTTGAGAGAGGAGTAAAGGAGGCCATCTTTGTGAAAAGAAATCGTCCATCATTAAACAGGGGTGGAGGCCTCCGGGTTCAACTGTCCCCCTCTTACAATGCTGTGATTGCTAGTATCACTCAGCCCTCTGTGAGTAGTAAACAGCCATCAGTGTGCTAATGATCCATTGTTAGGCTGATGGTCCTTCTTGAGCATGTGATCAGCTGGTTTTGGTTGTCAGCAGCAAAACTGGTTGATCCACTCTGAGAAGGTGCTATTTAAGAGACTGAGCTGAATACAGCACCTCAGACTGAGGAAGTCTCTCGGACGAGAGACGAAACGTTTCTACATTTTTTTTGCTTTGTTTTTTTTGTTTTCTTGTTTTTTTGAATGTCCAGAGGACCAGATTGAACTTTTTTGGATTTTTCTACCTGGATTATTGAGCATGCATCAGGATATGTCTGTGTTGGTTTTTGCCATGAACTTAGCAGATGTTTGAAGTCCCTTAGAGAGGTCAAGGTTGAGAGCTTCGAGAGTTTAATTACCATTCTTGTTTTAAAAAAGTCATGAGCAAAATGTCTAATGCACATTTGTTCAATAAAACTATAAATCAGTTTGCTTTATTACACAACACTGTGATACAATAGGATAAATAACACTGGTGTGAGACTTGACTGGTTATCACCCACTGCCAAAAGGTGACAAGTGTACGGTCATGCTTTTGCTTGAGTTTGCATGTTTGTCTGTTGAACATAATATCTCATGAATAACTGAACCAAACTAGCTAAAAGTAATTAAATGTACAACTGATTAAATTTTGGAGCCAATCCAATACAAGATGGCCACCACAGCCAACTGAAATGAAACACACACACATAAAAAAAGACTATAATTGTCAGTTTTACAGGTATTGCACTAAATTTTGGTGTGGTAGTAGCTGAGAGTCATCCCCAACCTATACATAATTGATTGCACAAGATCCTTTTGTACGACCATTGGAGTCAACTCGGTCTGTTAGCAAAACATCTTATAAACTCAAAGATGTACACTGACAACTAATCAACTTTTGGAGCCTAACTAATTCAAGATGGCCACCACAGTTAATTAACTTTAACTAACACACAAATGGCTAGAACTTAGTCAAGGTTTACTAATAATAAGCCAATATTCAGTGTGGAAGTAGTCGAGTCATTTCCAACGTATACCACCTGCTAACAGGTGGAACATTTTTTTCAAGGTTTGACCCAAAGATCTATAAACTTGGGCATTAGCAGAAGGCGTGGCTCTTAACTTGAATTGTTCCTATTTGAACGACTAAACGTGGCTCTAAGAGGGGATTATCTTTACGACCATATTGAGTAATCATATATGAAGTTGATTGTAATATTTTATCGTTCATCATTTCCCAGAATCAATCAAATAAAACAGAGCACAAAGGTGTTTTCTACAACCAAACTGTTTACATGCTCCAAGCAAAGCTTTGACAAAAATACAGTCTGTTTGAAACTGGACTTCAGTTAATATGGATCCTTTTGGACAGTTATATTTAGGCGTTTCTTCAGGGGAAAGCTGAAGGAACCTGTAAAAGGTAGCGTCCACCTCAACAATGGGCAGTTGACATCCACAGCTGGACAGTGCTCCCATTCCGTGTCCTCAACCAGCTTGTTGAGGATCGGTCCAGGTGGAGGTTGCTGGTGATGTTCGTACAGCCCCCACGGCACTAGCTTAAGGGAGTAATGAGGATGTTTGGGTTAAAGAAAGGAGACAGGATACGTGTCGATATGACCAAACTTTATTTCACAGCTCAGTGCCCAGCAGCTCTGGACAAACAACACAGGCTTCAACAATCAGCACACTTTTGCACCAAATCCAAGCGTATAGGACTTCCTCTCGTGGTTAACCCTGTTTTTCTCATGCGTTAAAGAAACAGGCATAGTGCCAACACAATGGAAGAGATGGTTAAAGATTTAGTTTACACTTTGCTTTGCAAGATAAAAAATAAAGACGTCTTTATGGTAAATGATTCTTTTATGTACAATTTGGAGCGTAAACCAAATAAAACACTAGAAAAAAATAGAATTAAATAAAGCATGCCCACTGTCAAACCATGAGGAGGAGGTGAGTGGCTGAGCTATTAGTTTTGTGTCCACTTCTTTTTTTTTATATTAAGGCTATAATAAGTACAGTACAAAGCTGGGATTTGTTTTCATCATGTCAGCATAATTGGGCATTCAAACTAGTTTAATGTAAATTATTTATGGACATAAATTTGGGAGGAACTATATTAACTAGTTTAATATTGTTTTCCCTGTACAGATTCAATGCATTTGTGATTTAGCATATCATGCAATGTGAACCAAGCAAAGTATTGTTAATGGTAGACTAGCATAGCTGTGGAAAGATGGGAGTACTGGGTGAGCATATCTGAAAATGGATTTTTGGGGGAGCACAACTCAGGGGTTGATTAGAGAGCAGTAGACATGTCCGTAGCACCGTGGCAGCAACGCTCCTGAACAAAAGTCAGTCAGGATTACTGGAAGCCCATAATTACAGTTCAGTTAGCTGTCCTTGGAAAAATACAATGTCTGAATACATTAAATGAATCGATAGAGATCATTTTAACATTGCAGTCTATTTTGAATCGGGTGAAAACCTTTGAGGCGTAGCGTAAAGACTGATTATACACGAGAAGGTCTCAAGCATGAGTTTCTTTGTATTATCTAGTAGGGACCACCTTCTCCGTGGTACTGGGTTTCCCCTTAGCAACAGTGGCAGCTTTTGGCCTGGTCTTGGCAGGCATGGAGGAGGACTGCGCAGTGGCTTCCTGCGAGGTGCTGCGTCGCATGGTTGTTGTAGTCCTGGGTGATAGCATGGGGACAGTAGGAGCTCGAACAGAGAGCGGCTGCCTGGATGGGCATGCCCTTTGAGGGGAGGGGCTGTCAGTCCTGCAGTGAGTGGAGCTGAGGCTGCGTCGTGTTCCTAGCAAGACACGTAGGGGCATTCGAGGACTGCCAGGCAGAGCAGAGGCAGCTGATGGACGAGGACATGAGGAGGAGGACCGGGATGAGACGGGCTTGGGTTTCCGTTGGCAGCTTAGTCCAGTTTTCTGATTTCTGCAGAGAAAAAAAGCATATTGAGGGCGTTACTTCATCAACTAAAATGACTGAATAAATGGTTTTAAAGGTAAATTCTTTGCACAAATAAAAAGGAGAAACTGTAGCATACCCATTAATGAGGACTGATGCTGCTTTGGTACTGTTGGGGTCTGGTAAGGAGAGAGGAGAAGCAACAGCAGCATCAACCGCCCCAGCAGGACATTTGACGGGGGTGACAGGCCTAGGAATCTTGCTCCTGCACTCTTTGGAGCCCTGCTCTTCAGCTGGTTTATGACGGGAGCTTCTCTTTGACTCATCAGAGGTATGCATGTCCTCCTCTGACTCCGTGGTGGACAGTGTTTCTGACACTCTCCAGCGCTCGTCATCTCCAGAGGACAATGACGATGATGTTCCAGACAGCATCCTCCTCCTCATCCAGCGACCCTGTTGCTTCTGGACCAGCAAGCGTGCCAAGTCAAGCTGCCTGGCCCGCTGCTGAAGCTGAGCTCGAGCTGACACAGAAGAAGACTGTTCTGACCCCGAGTCCTCACTGATAAGTATGGGGATTCTGCTTCGCACTTTGGGCTTAATAGCAGCAGGTAATTCTGCTCCAGCAGTCTGAAGCTCCAAAGCTTCACCAGTGGCTGATAGTAGTTTCTCAAGTTTTTGAGATAGGTCTTTATGATCCTGAACTGGTAAGGAGTCCATTGGAACAAGCTCTAAAGACAGTGCCAAGACACCTGATGGACCATTTTCAGTTTTTAACAGTTTGTCATCTGTTGAGGTTTGGTCTGGTACAAAATCCTCCGGAGCTTGTTTTGCCACTGGTGCTTCCTCGTGTTCATGGTTGTCAACCTCTAAGGACAGTCCCTTTGTAACAGTAAAGACTTCCCTGTCATTCTCCTTTACAGAGTGACCATTGGAAGACATAACATTAAGGTGTGACGTCTCTGCAATATGAATGAAAGTGCGCTCAACTTTGGTGAATGGCGGCGATCCAGGAGCAATTGGAGTCGAGGGTCTCAACTCTGATCTTAAAGCTGGCGACAGGCGGCCAGTCTCAGAGGGTTCAATCTGGATTCCCTCCCCAACCAGAAGGCGGTCAGTATGGGAGGTTGGTGCAGACGGCGTTGCCAACTCACCTTCTAGACCGTGATCCCCACCAGAGGGAGACTTACGGGTATCTCCGGGTGAAAACAGGACAAGTGTTTTTGATGCATCCTCCAGATCAGGATCAGCATCAGCAGCTGAGGCATGCTCCTTCTGGCCTCTCTGGTCTTCGGCCATGAGGGTTGAAGGTGCAGCATCTTGGCTACGTTCAGTACTTTTCTGACTGGCTTCGCTGTTGGACTCGCTCTTTGTAACATCATCGTCTTTTGGCCCAAGAGGTTCCGGGACCTCTTCATCTGGTGTGGCAAAGCTCCGACGCTGTGGCAAGGTGCCAGTCAACACTACAGTGAGGAAATCGGCCCTCTTGGCCTGCAGCTGAGGAAGAATGTGGAAATGCTCCATCTCATCAGTCTGGCCCTTTGTCCGATAATCTGGAGAGGATGGTGATGGGGTTCTTTGCTCCGTGGGTGACAACACCTGAAAACAATGCAATGACACTTCATTACCACCAAGTCAGTTTACAAAGATGACATGCAACTTTGAAGAAAAATAATTTCTGAAAAAATATGTTCATAAGAAAACTACTCAATCAAGATAGTCAAATGTACTAACTCACTGTACACAGTACTACTTGTTAGTAGTTTGTGACAGATGACAAATGAAGTTAAGATATGCCACAAAAGGAAGATAAAGAAATTAATAATCAACAGAAAAACATTAATCTAAAGAAAAGGTAACAATCCCTGAAGGAACCCGTTTCACCTCATACCTTTTACGCCACAGTTTGAAAAAAAGACCTTTGCAAAGTTCTGGTTGCAAAAAGCTTATAGATCTGTGAGCAACCAGAGTGTGTTTGGAATGACTCCCATGTACTACCACTTCACATTTTTATTCAAGATCCATAAAATGACTGAACAACAGTCATTTTTGTATTTTCTATAGTCAGTTAGCTGTGGTGGCCCTCTTCAACTTGCTTGACTCCAAAAGTTGATCACTTCTCGTGCATCTAATGATTATGTTCTGAAACTTTTATTAAAAGTTGTCCGGTTGTTCATGAAATATTGTGCTAAAAGTGAGATAGCCAAACAAATGACCTCCCCACCTTTCATTTCAGTGGGTGAGCAGAATGGTCAGGTAAATAAAACAAGTGAAAAAAGCAGCCATGTCTAAAAGAAAAGTTTAAGGAAGAATTAGGAATTATCACCGAACGTCACTGTTCTTTATTTTTTTTTTAACTGTAGGTTAAAACAGGATACAATGCAGAGCTTTTGCAAACGTAGAAAAGATGACTGCAACAATCATCTTTGCCCCAGAACTATTTTATTGTAATTTTGGTTGTACACAAGCTTTGTAAGATTGTCTAGATTACATACATTGATATAAAAGGCACAAAAAATGCATTGCAGAATTAATTTATAGCACAAAGTCTGATATCCGGTGATTTTCAAGTTTTTCCCTTGATAAAGTTTTAACATACAGCCTGTACATACAAACTAAACCCCACTAATTATCATGCTATTAGAGCGTAACTGCAAACCTAACTGCTTTCTACATTTCTGTATATATGTACAGTTATCATTTGGATTTACAAAAACCTTTAAAATACATGCTTCATGTGTCAATTATACAAGCAGTACTGTACAGTAATATAGTGATGAAAAAAATGCATATACATTTTGTTATTTTTACAAGTGAAAGACACTCATGGATCATCGCACCAAACAAACACTGAGCTCTTCAGTTCTCTGCACATCGACAAAGAAACTGCTTTTATTGCAAAGGACCGTTTAAGACATTTAATCCTTTAACCGTCCATACAATCTGATGCTAACTGCGTCTCAGCACAAAGACGTTCCGACCCCATCAAGACAAAAAAAAAAAAAAAAGTCTCAGCGCAGAAATGACTTTTTTTGTTTGGTTTTGTTTTAAACATGTTTTTTTTCTTCTTTTTTTAAGAGTTGGTGAGTAAATGAGTGATTTAATCTGTCAAAAAGTAATTGTATGTAACAGTGTACCAAGCTGAAGCTGGTGAAGTGTGGCTACAATCTAAGTCAGCAATGAACACAGTGCTCACCTCTACATTATTTATTTGTCATCACCCTGTCGATCCATAAATATGAAAAGGAACATATCAAATGGGCAGAAAACATTTATTTATTTTTATATTAGAGTGTGATCGAGTTACTGCCGGCCTCTAGACGATGGCAGCTGAATGCTAAACGATTTTTGAAACGTGCCGCTTGGGGCCGAGATGGTGTAGAGGTCGGGCAGCCGACCTGGAACCAGAAAGTCACGGTTTGAATCCTCGCCATGCCCACATGTCGTGGTGTCCTTGAGCAAGACACCCAGTTCCTCCCTGGGCACGTACATAGCTGCCCACTGCTCCACCTGGGTGCAGCTCAGGTGTGATGGGTTCAATGCAGAGAACTGATTTCGTCATTGTATGGAAACATACAATGACAACACACAGCACTTTACGTTTTGTTGACTAATTAAAAACACAATTTTGATTTTAAAAACTTCTATTTTGTAAGTTTTGTGGGGTTTAGGAAAAAATAGTCTAATTTGTAGTTAATTAAGATAAGTCTTGCTGTCTAACTACTGCATTTTACAAGACGATCTCGCCTTCTCAAGTGGACAAAAGACTTTTCGTCATTTTGTTAGCACACATGTGAAAAACAAAAATCCTGACGGAGTTGAATATTTTAGGATTTTAGAGTGTAAAAATATATGTGTCAAGCCTGACGCATATATCTACTCGTGTAAACTGGCAAAAAAAAGTTTATTTTCCTCTACACAAAATGAATAATTTACAGAGTCGCTCCCTATTCTACAAGCTTTTGCTCACAGCACCACAATGAGGGGCGGCCGAGCCCTTCTTTGTTCAGAGTTTCGCTTCACGTGTTTTTAATGGACAGTTACAGCTTTTCTGTTGGTCTAGAACGTTCACCGCAAATAAAAAAAGAAAGTAAATCAAAATGCAATTTTTAAATATGCAGCTTCAGAATAACTTGTCATAACTACAGGATGTTAAAGATGCTGCAGTCTGAATATAAATCAAAGAGTTGACGGCGAGCCTCTGGTTGGGATAGTACACCGCTGCTGAGTTACGTCTAACCCGTCAGAATCGATGAGAACTCAGCCACAACAGCAATAACATTATTAAAAAAAGCCACCTGCACATAAATCATAAGAAGTCGATGATGTCTTAGCGGTTCATCACGTCTCACCACTAATAAATAAAGCACGAGAGGTGATCACATCAACACTGCAGCATGAAAGATGTGACTTTATGTTGGGACAGGAAAGGCCTCTGACACTTGCGGTCAACCTGAAGTCAGCTAAGGGCTCAACAGTTTGATCCATCACTACCTCCTCAAGGACCCGTGTGAATTATTTACAACAACAGACAGCCCTCTGCACTCGGACTATATTCACTGTGTTGTTCTTGTCATTGCAGTACAGCGCAGTGTAGTTTTTAATATTTTACAGTAAGAGGTGTGCGTGTCATAAAAACATGTCATGCAGAGTGGAGACAGTCAGCGGTCAGTCCTCTGCTTCGACAAACCCTTATTCAGGCTGCAGAATACGATTTTAACCATAACGTTGGCAGATCGAGCCCGCTAGGATACTCCTCCTGCCTGTTAGTAACTCATGTGGCCTTCACTGCCTTCATGGAGACAAGACAATCTCGCAGAGTAAATGAATCCTGTTGCTAGCAGACAAACAAAAACGTCCGAGTTAGCAGCCAGTCCACTTCATACATTCTCGGTGAGGTTTTTTTGTGCAACTCTAAACAAAACAGAAAAGAAGCAGGGGTTTCCCGAACTTATGATGAAGCAGCATGAAAACACTCTGTACGACAGACTGAAGCTGCAGCGAGTTTCACGAGAAAAACATACACATACAAGCTAAACAAATCAGCAAGTGGTGCATATTTCAGTAATGTAGCCCTTAACATGTTGGGAAAGCAGCGGTGTGGCTTTCTTTGCGCATAATGAATATTTGAGCCAGCTTCGTGTAGTTCTGTTCTGTTCCTGTTCAGGAGTCACAGATTAGACTTTTAAGAAAGTCCTTAAAACAACATCAAGTAAAAGCTGCTGCTTGGGACGAATGTGGCAGCAAAGCCTCTCCAAACTTCATCAACACGATGTGTAGAAAAGCCTTCGTCTCATCAGGTGAAACAAGCACAAATGTTAGTAGACACTAGAGCCCAACCAATATTTTGGTAGGGCTGATATTTTAGGCCGATATAGGCATTTGGGAACCTGTTGGTATCATTGATAATTGTTCCATTATACGCCGATACCAGCACTTCAAATTTTCACCCCTAAAATGCTGGAAACAGTTGTAATTGTACAATGTACCAGCAGAGGGCGCATGAAGACTACTTTCAAATCATGGCCGTTCACTTAAGTTTCACTTTCAGAGAAGACGAAGCCGCGAGCAATACTGTGTGGCGTATTTTGATGAACAGAGCATGTTTATTTTAACTGATCTGTAAAATAAATCAACAATAACAAATTATCTTCAATTCTCCAACCCACTTGTTATTAGCTACATGCCTCTCAAGTTAGCAAGCTAACGCTAGTGTTCAGTTGCACCACCTTCATGACATTAGCCCATTATCAGTATTGGCGATAGCCGTAATTTCCATATCGGTCAGGCTCTAGTAGAGACGAAGTTTTAAAAGAAACAAAGACTTTTCATCTGCAGATTTTCCAAGGATCTGTTCTTCAACGTGATACAAAATCGTAAACATCACAAACAGACACTGAACATGCTGGGTCAGCGCAATCAGTGGTTGTCTTAGTAGTTCTAGGGATACATTTGTTATTAATAAAATTATTATCTAACCATCCATCCATTCATTTTGTGGATACTTGTAATATCAGAATAAATTATTTGATCTTCCCAAAAGTTTTTAACCCAAGCAATGGATTTGGATTTACTGAGTTTTTACTAAAAAGCAGGTCTTTTCTCTTGTGAGGATCCACAAAAAGTAACAATTAACTTTTTGTTTTTCCACACTGACCTTTTGTTCTGTGCAAATAAAACACCATAAATCTGCTCACCTGTAGCCAGTTATGAGAAACAATGAACTTCACTGTAAAATATAACTAATTCCTCTCTGGTTTCTCATCTTTCTCTCCCCTTGTAGCATCATTGCTTCATTTTGTTGGCAAACATTTGTGTTGAAATAACTTTTAGGAAAAGTTTGATGAGTTTGTGCAGGTAAATTCTGACAAAAACGGAAAACAAACTGCGTCTGGAGGAAAGAAAACTTATATCATGGTGTGAAAATGGTCAAAAACATAACCACCGAAATGTGAATTAAAATGTTGTTTTTTTAATATACAAAAATCTTTATATTACTTGCTGCATGAGTGTGCAGCAGGACATAAAACCCTGTCTGATCCCTTTGTCTGATCCATCATGATAAAGTGCAACAATTAAACTCACGAGTCGGGAAACGG